AAATGATAAAACCGTGAATTTAAAACCCACTGAATATGCCTGAAATGGTAAATCAGTGAAATTTAAACCCAGTGAAAATTAGTCATTTTACAGTATTCACAATAGTTTGTAAACATTTCACATCAGTAATAACAGGTTTATTTGTTTCATAACCCTTTCTGCTATTCTTCAGTAATTACGATGCAATGTATTAATACGTGCGTGAACAAAATTATGCTAATGAGGTCATCGCCATCTTGGATTACAAGTGGTAGTTTTTCCCGGTCGTTTCGACTTGCACTGATCACGGTTACTAAGAAAGTAACCGTGCAGTGATTACAATACCTACCATACTTTGTAGCCAATTTCAGTGAGTAATACAACTTCATTCTCTGACATAAAACAAGTTTTATTCTTGAAATTCGACCCTTTGTCTTAGTGTTCCCACAGTTATTGACCGAGTGCTCACGTTTATTGAAACCTCGCATAAATCAAGAATTAAGTACGTGTACGAAAGCATTCCTTTATTTGACCTTATCATACGATCACAAAAACAACTTTTTAAAATCTTTTTTGGGGTGGTCCTCGGGTAAGCGCCCACCCCCAATTTTTCCCGATTTTGTATGTTCAGGCCCCTGGGCGCGTGCCCGGGGTAATACGGTAGTATACATGTCTTGATTATACACCACAAAAGGCATTTAGGCTTTTAGATGGATTAAAAAAATATGAAAAAACTGACAAAAAACGCACCTCAAATGATTGGTTTCATTCAGTTACCAACTATATTCTGTGGCCCTTCTTAATAGTTTGACACCTCCAAATACAATCCATAAAGTAAGAAGTAAAATTGATGTGGTTGATATTGTGTTAATATACTTACTTGTAATAAAAACTATCTTTACTGTCATGCATGTAATCTTCAAAGACTGTATAAGATGTTAATACTGGTATGTCTACTTGTCGTTTGTACTCCAACCATGAACCAAGGAAATAATGACATGTTTCACCAAGTCCCTACAGACAAAGAATATACTAAGCAAACACATACATGTAGTGTCATGTGATCCAAAATGTAGAATATGGTTTAGGTAATTAGTATATACAGAGATCAATAACTAAATAAATTTTAAGGTTTATGTTATTATACATCTGACATCAAAACAAAATTCATCTGTTTGTCAAATGCTGTATGAATGTGTTTCTTCCTTATTTGAAAAATTTACATCGCATTCAAAGCACTATAACGTATGATGAACACAAACGTTGCCATTTTTTACTGTTTTCTCTCATTAATTATTGGCAAAGGGATGTACAATAATAAGGTTACCATGAGAATACTGCAAAGTTTGGACTCAGGCACTGCATAAATTGATGCACATACGATCACCACACTGCCTTCATGGATACTTCGCGGTATTCTCATAATAACCTTATATTACACCAAATAAGCCATTCACACAGTCAGTGGAATATAAGATTTGTGAGATGGACAGACATTGGTACAACATCAGCTTCTGCATGTTCTTCACAAACACAGAAATAAAATATATACATACTGGAACACGTTCTACAATTGTTCTACAATTTTTTGGTATATTGGTCTTACATGAGGTTGGATTTCGGCGGATTCTGTTGGGGAGGGAAGATATGCTGCTGCAAACCAATCACCTTCCAAGGGACTACCATAAGTAAGAAATTTTACTGAATAGTCACTAGGTGTCTCAAACTCCAGTAAAGCAGTTCTTTTCAAGACAGTGTCTTCAGGGAATGATGTGTTTGTTGGATTTATAACTGGATAGCTGCCCCACTGTAAAGCTCTGCAAATAAAATGGTTGAAAATTGATAACATACTAGTACATAGCTTTTAATACAATACAATACAACAAATTGATTTTCCATATACCGGTATGTTGACAAGGTGTTTGGTTGACAGGTAGCAAACCTTTGAAACAGGCACCATTATTGTTATGGTATTGAATCAGTAAAATATGACTTATTTTGACCAGTGAAACAACTATGCCATTTAATATGTTAATGTGCATATGCCACCACTAGAACAAACACAGTACTACTACCGGATTCTGTAGTAAATTCGCCCTGGCCATTAAACGGCAGTTTGGGTTATTACAAAAATAAAATGGGAACAAGAAATCGCCCAATCACGATTTTTCAGCAGTTTTTTAAGGTATTATTTTAATCTTTCCTGATCCCTAAAAGAGAGTCTAATTTAAATTTCATGATGTTTATTCAAATTATTGTGACTAGCGTGGATTGGTAAGCTTCATTTCGACAATGAGCTGTTATCACTAAAATAAACAATGTTAAATTATTCTTCACATGCTCAGGTTATCTTTTGAAAACAACTAATTTTTTGATCATGCCGTTTTCCAATCAAAATACAAAACGTCCCAGGTCAAAATATGGTGGATATTCTACAGCATCAAGCATTTAATATGCGACCAGAATCATTCGCTTACGATGAAACTAAGTTGAAATCTATTTGCATTTCATAACAATTCAACCAATTTATTTTTTGTACTTTATTATAATCACTACTAAGTATTAATCAACAATTGTGCCATGCAGCATGACCAGATTGTGCTAGCGCGATCATTTGCTGCTAAGCAATGCAGTTGTGTTCGTTTTTTATTTATTTGAAACTTCTTTTAGAATATACATGTACTTCCGTTAAAATATAACTTCTATACTAGATATGACTAGATACTAGATATATACTATATTAGAATATACTTCTAATAAAATTTAACAAAACAAGCCATGCATGGCACAGTCCCTGTTAGTTATCAAATTTAAGATATATAGTTTTGTTTATAGTAATATAGCTGGAATATAACCATGTCAGGAATATGATTTTATTAACATTAAAATGATTGACATTTGTATCTGATCGTCAAACAAGTACTTGTCCATATTGAGAGATATTGCTCTGGAACAGCATGCACAATCAGCCATTTTGAATACATGTATATATATATATAACATGATGTATAACGAATATATAAAATTTGAATATAATCAGTCAAAGCATTTAAGAGATATGGCTCTAGAAGCCCAATCATTAAAACAAAATGGCCACCAGTCAGCCATTTTTAATCCAATCTGAAAAATAAAATGACGTGCATCAGGAACCCGTAATGTCTAATGTATGTACCAAGTCAGAAATGCTTGATATTTGATGATTTTTTAGCACAAAAATGGCCACCATTTGGCCATTTTGAATAGGATCGTCAAACCAATATGTCTCTCTATCTACATGTGTATGACATGATGTATAATGAATATTTAAAATTTGAACATAATCAGTGAAAGTCAGATATATGGCATGAGAATCACATTCATTAAAACAAAATGGCCACCAGTCGGCCATTTTGAATTTTATCTGAAAAACAAAATTATTTGCATCAAGGTCCCATAATGTCTAATGTATATACCAAGTTTGAACAAAATCCATCAGTAAATAGCCGAGAAATGCTTGATTTTTAGGATTTTTTAGCACAAAAATGGCCGCCATTCGGCCATCTTGAATCAGATCGTAAAACAAAATGATGTGCATCAAAGTCATATAATATCCAACGTATATACAAGGTTTGAACAAAATCCATCTGTAAATAGCCGGGAAATGCTTGATTTTGATGATTTTTTAGCACAAAAAGGGCCACCATTCAGCCATTTTTAATTAATAGGATCGTCAAACCAATATATCTGTATATCTATGATATGATCTATAATGAATATTTAAAATTTTGAACATAATCAGTCAAAGCAAGTCAGAGATATGGCACTAGAAGCACATTCATTAAAACAAAATGGCCACCAGTTGGCCATTTTTAATCTTATCTGAAAAACAAAATGATGTGCAGCAAGGTCCCATAATGTCTAATGTATATACCAAGTTTGAACAAAATGCATCTGTAAACAGCCGAGAAATGCTTGATTTTTAGAATTTTTTAGCACAAAAATGGCCGCCATTCGGCCATCTTGAATCAGATCGTAAAACAAAATGATGTGCATCAAGGTCCTATAATGTCTAATGTATATACCAATTTTGAACAACTGTAAACAGCCGAAAAATTTTGATTTTGATGACTTTTAGCACAAAAATGGCTGCCATTCGGCCATCTTGAATCAGATCGTGAAACAAATTGACTTGCATATGTATAATATCATGTATGATGTATGTGTGAAGTTTGATTGTGATTGGTCCAGGCATTTCTAAGATACAGGTCTGGATGCACGCACACACACACGGACGCACGGTCAAACCATAAGTCCCCGTTTTCGTACTGCGTCTGAACGGGGACTAAAATAATTATATTTGGCGTACCAGGTTCATTAATGAGATTTTTTTGGAGAAAGATGACACTGGGTGACATTGTAATGAAATTTTAGGCGGTCTACTTTCAGGAAGAAAAAAAATGTATCAAATTTTAGATTTGCTTCTGCAATAGTTTCTTTTTCTTGGGTGATCCAACTGCCAGCGTTGAAAATCAGCATAGGTGGATTTTTCAATGAAAATTGAAGTCCATAAAAATATTTGATGATCATTTTTTTGAAATTTTGAACCTCAAACAAGGGCCCACCAGACGTGAAGTCGCCCAGGCCGATTTTTTGGATGGGTCAATTTATGACAGAATCCGGTATAGTTCAATATAAACCTTTAGCAGAAAGCTAGACTTACATCTGAACGTTCATTTGCTGACAGGAATCATCCCCCTTCTGGAAGGCCGTAAAATGCCACATAGACTCGGTAACGTGACTTGCCATTTTGTAGTGGAATAGCTGAACATTCCTATATCCTTTGTATTCAAATACTTCAACTGGTTGATACCACTGTGAATTGGAAGCTACCTCCTCATTGCCTGTCCTGTATTCTGAAATAAAAACATGTACATGTATAAGGCATCATCAAATTAGTTTGATCCTACCTTAATAAAATTGCAGTGACCATCATGACCATGTGTGCTTGAAACCATTGAAATAAAATTTCAAAAATACGCATATATGTTGGGAACCATACCAAATACACATGTTTTTAATGATCACATCATCAATTTATGCAAAACAGTATTTTTTCAGCAGAAACATCTGATGATGCCTCCCCTTTATTATTAATACCCCTCCCCCTCCTGCTTTTCATTCATTACATGTAAACAAACAAGTAAATTTGAAAATATTTTCAAAAGCCATTTTCATTTCAGCTACTCTAAATGAAGTGATATTAATGCACTACTATGACATGTTTTATGACAATTGTGTTTATATTGAAATCTGAAACATATGTCTGTAGACAACATTATAGTAATTAATTTATAAGATGACATAAGCTATGACATAATCCATCCAAGCTAGTTTAGAAACAGTTACAACCTAATATAATGGATATTTTGGTCTATTTTTGGTGTATTTTTGGTCTATTTTTGGTCTATAATTTATTGCTACTCCACCATAGTAAATGATGGCAAAACATATTCTACATAGAGTGTATGTATAAGTTAATTTAATTTTCATGCTTTTAACCATTTTTTTTATACTCCATATTCACGGACATTTAGACTTTCAAATACCTACTTATTTAGGTTTTTATTTTTATGATTAGGCAATTTTTTCTTTCTTTCAGAATTCATATTTAAAAAAACGGAACTATGTAAATAATACTTATTGGTATTTGTTTTGTAAGATATACATATAAGATGGTAATTCATACAATCAAAGAAGAATTTATAAGTTGGTTACCAAGCTTGTCAGTCATACAGTATGAATTATAGTAATAATGGGGTAAGGAATAAAACATAATTTATTATTATTTAATTTTTTGGTAATGAAACAAATGGAGCCAATGACCTACACAGAAATTGATCACAACGTATTTTCAAATCTTTATTTTTAATATTTATTCAAATCATCAAGTTATTCAAATATCACAAATAATGAAATAAAAAGATGTGTGATGTCATACAGTGTGAAGTTAGGCACTGATACAATGCAAAGTAATGTTAATAATATTACAACAAACTGTGGTTGGAATGACAACACAGCTGACAATAGTGTTATAGTTTCTCAGTTGGCAATGTTTCAAGTTTTTTTTGGAAAAGTTAAGATGAGAACTTAATTTGTGTTAAAGCTCACCAGTTAGCAGTCAGGGATTGTCATTTATGCCAAAAAATGACACCATTCCCACACACAAAAATGTTACTATTAAAAATGCATCACGAATAGGAGTGCAAAATAAAATTGCATTTGTTGTACATTGTATACATTAAAATATTACGTACTACTATGAGAGCAATATGGTATAATAAGTAATAAGTAGTAATAATAATAATAATAGTAATAATAATAATACTAAATGTGTGGAGATATTTTT